CATATAGAATATGTTCTCTGACAATGCTGGATTTAAATTAATAATCAATAACAGAGAGGTATCTGGAGAGTCCCAAAATATCTGGAAATAAACTAGCATACTTCTAAACTCAAGGGTCAGAAAATATATCAAAAGGAGGGGCCGGCAGGTGGTATGGTGGTTAAGGGTGCTGGATTCCCACATGGCTGACCACAGTTTGAATCCTGGATTTGGTGAATTGCTTCCTCACTTTCTCTCTCTCTTGCTTGTTCTTGCTCTGTCTCTCTCTCTGCTCAAATGAAATAAACAAATGAATAAATAAATAAATAAGGTTAAGTAAAATAATTCTTATAAAAAAAGAAAATATAACAAAAGGAAAATCATGAAGTATGTTAAATTTAATGAAAATGAAAACACAACATACTAAAATTTCTGGGATGCAGCTAAAGTGGACTTAGAGGTAAATTTATAGTACTAATATGGCTACACTAGAAAGAAATAGGTCACTAGCCAGTGATCTCAGTTTTCATCTTAAGGAATCAGAAGAAGAAAAAGTTAAGCTCAATATAAGTAAAATCAAATAAAAATTAGAGTGGAAGTAACTGGGGAAAAAACAATAAAACAATGTAGAAATCAATGAAACCAAAACCAGTTCTTTGAATGGAGGAGAAGGGATTGCGGCGTGACCATCCCCCCTGGGGGGTGATTTCTCGCTTTCTGTCTCTATGTCTCTCTCTGTCTGTCTGGCGAGCATACGCGCCCTACAGTGAAAATCTCTCCAAAAAAAAAAAAAAAAACCAGTTCTTTGAGATGAGTAAAACTGATAAATTTCTACCCTGACTGAACAGTAAAAAAGAGAGAAGTCATGAATTACAAATTTAGGAATAAAAGAGCCGATATCACTTTATATTCTATAGATATTAAAAAGATTATAAGGGAATATTATGCATAATTTTATGCTGATAAATTTAACACCTTAAATATGAAATGGACAATTCCTTGAATGATACAAACCACCAATATTCACTCAAGAAAAAAGTAACCTTAGTAGCTGTATATCTGTTAAATAATTCTACCACATATAAAAAGGATATTACATTGTGACCAAGTAGGATATCTATATATCCTACTTATTTAATTTTATTTATTATAATATTGTATTATATTATATTATACACCACCTGCTGGCCCCCCAAGTGGGATTTATTTCAAGAACAAATGATTCACTTAACACTTGAGACTTAAACAATGTAATCTGCCATATTAAAAAACTATAAAAGAAAAAAAATTCTCATTTTGTGCAGAAAAAAAATTCAACATTCAGTTCTGATTTAAAAATAAAAAAACTTATAGCAAGCTAGAGAAAACATAATTTTTTCCACAGCCAGTCCTGAAAAACTGGATACACATATACACCAAAAAGTAAGATTTGAATTTCGGACCATATACCCAAATTAACTCACAATTAATATTAGACTTAATGCAAACCCTGCAACTATAAAATTCCTATGACTGTGGGTTAAGCAAAGATTTCTCTCTCTCTCTCTCTTTTTTCTTTCAAAGTTTTATTTATTTCTCCCATGAGAGAGAGACAGCATCCCCAACAAAGGCCTGATGCTGCAATCCACTCCCAGCATTAGCTAGCTCTAGATCCTGTGTACAGGGGTGCCTGGCATACCAAGGGAAGTGAACCTAGAACTGTCCCATGTGGGTCAACCCTGCAGTGTAACTTCACCACAGTGTCACCATTTGGCCCAATTAGGCAAAGATTTATTTTTTCTTTTTTTTAGAGAGATTTTTGCTACAGGGTGTGTGTGTTTGCTGGAGAGACAGAGAGAGAGACAGAAAGTGAGAGATCATCCCCCAGGGGGGATGGCCACGCTGTAATCCCTTCTCCTCCATTCTCCTCTCAAGATCTTGGACAAACATACCCAGCATGTTTTAAGCTGGCAGGTCCAAGACTTGAACCATAGTTGACTGCATGGGAGTCCAGTGACGTAATCATTATGCCATCTGCTGGTCCCAGGCAAAGATTTCTTATATGGTTCTTACATCAAAGTATGATTGATAAAAGAGAAAAAAAATGGGCTTCCTCAAAATTAAAAAAACTGTTTAGAGAATGAAATGACAGTTCAGGGACTCGGGAAAATAATTTAGATAGGAGATATCTGATAAAAGATCTGTGTCTAAAATAAAATACAATGAACTCTCAAAAATCAATAATAAGAAACCCAGTTCTATGAGTGTGAAAGATCTGGACAGAATACTGCCCTAAAGAGAGAGAGAGGAAAGAGTCTCAGCATCATCACTGATGGCAGAAACCCAACTTAAAATCACAATTTGATATATCACTGCACACTCATTAGAATGTCTAAAATTAAAATTAAAAAAATGAAAAAGACTGGCCTCACTGAGTATAGGTGAGGACATGGAGCAGATATTATTGGAGGGAATGTAAAATTGTACAATCACTATGACGGTTTCTTAGAAAATTAAGCGTACAACTATCATTTGATCCAGCCACTCCACTTCTGGGTATTTCAAGACAAATAAGTGCATTTGACCAACGACTTGTACACAATGTTCATATCAGCTTTATTGGTTGAAGCCAGAAACTGGAAACAAACTCCCAAAGGATGAATGGGTAGTGGATATACAAATGGTGGCACATTCACACAATGCGTACTACTTAGCAGGAAAGGAATAAACCATTATTGATAAACCAATCAACACGGATGATCTCAAAAGAATTATGCTGGGGACCAGCAGTTAGCATAATGGCTATGTCACTGGAGTCCCACGTAGTCGACTGCAGTTCGTGTCCCGGACCCGGTGGCTTAAAACTCACAACGGGCGCGTGTGCATGCGTGCCCAAGATCCCGAGAGGAGAATGGAGGAGAAGGGATTGCAGTGTGGCCATACCCCTGGGGGGTGATTTCTCGCTTCCTATCTCTCTGTCTGTCTCTGTCTGTCTGGCGAGCGCACACACTCTAGCAAAAACCTCTTAAAAAAAAAGAATTATGCTGAGTGAGAGAAGCTGCACAATAAACAAAAATGCCATATGATTCCATATATCTAAATTATAGGAAATACAAACAGATCCTTGGTGAGAGTATATCCAGGTAGCCTGGTTGGGGGGGGGGCAAAAGAGGAAAGCAGTGCAGGGAATTTTGGGGGCTTTATCATGTAATCTGGGTGATGGCTTCATAGGTGCACACAAATATCAAAAAGTATCAGATTCATGAGGGCTCTTTACCGTATATCCACACCACGAAAAGTTGTTTTTAATTTTTTTTTTCCTATAGGGCATGTGTGCTCGCCAGAAATACAGAGACAGAGAGACAGGAAGCGAGAAATCATCAGGGGTGGAGAGTTGGGGGGTTGGGGATGGCCATGTCACAATCCCTTTTCCTCCATTCTCCTCTGATATCTTGGGCACGCACGTACATGCGCCCAGCGTGAGTTTAAGCCACCGGGTTTGGGACTCAAACCGTGGTTGACTACATGGGAGTTCAGTGACATAGCCATTACGCCAACTGCTGGTCCCTATAAATTTTTGGTATAGGGCGCCTGCTGCTCACCAAAAGACAGAGAGACAGGGAGACAGCAAGAAATCACCCCTAAGGGGAGATGGCCACACTACCTTCCCTTCTCCTCCATTCTCCTCTTGGGAGTTTGGCCATGCACGTACACCCGCCTGGCACTGAGTTTTAAGCCACTTGGTCAAATCTTGACCTACGTCGACTAAGTGGGAGTCCAGCGACGAACCGTTATACCATCTTCTGGTCCTGTATTTAAAATCTCAAGGAGGGTTCAGCTCAAAGGCCCCCACCCTACATCCCCTGCCCTCCTCGAGATGCCAACACGCAGGGACTCTTAAGACGCAGGCAGTGGGGACCAGTCGTCGGACAGGAGGTAACCCTGAAGATAGATGAAAGATGCGTAACATCACTAACCACAAGTTAAAATCACAATTTGATACGGTCGGAGGTCTAACCCTACTCACGTCTTGGCACCAGGCCCGCGATAAACGCTAGCCTAGGACTTTCAGTTGCCGGGAGGATCCCGTCGCTGCCAGGGCAGAGGAGAGATCTTCCAGAGAGCATGTAGGGGCTGGGTTCACAGCCCCGCCCCATCCTCAGACCCCGCCCAATCCTGCCCCGAGGCTGTCCGCAGTCCCCGACCCACAGTCAGAACCAGCGCGCGCTCGCGGCCAGAAGTTCTGCCCCAACCCCACCCAGGACCGCCCTTCGCCTTCCTGCCAACTCCGCTCTGGTCTCTCCGTATGCCCCGCCCTAAACCTCTCCTCTCCTTAATGTCAGGCCCCGTCCCGACCTCCTACAAATCCCCCGCTCTCGTCTCCTCGCAGGTCCCGCCCAAGCCCCGCC